TATGCCACCAAAGCCACCATTCCATTGGAGTTGGGTATGCCACCAAAGCCACCATTGGAGTTGGGCATGCCACCAAAGCCTCCACTGGGGTTGGTTATACCACCAAAGCTAATATTGGCACCATCACTGAAGCTATTTCTGGTACTAGGTCCTTGGTTGAAGTTGAGATTGTTGGTAGAATCTGCATTTTCTTGGGCTCTGGAATCAATTTCAAAGGAAAATCTGTTCCAGGCCTGAGCATCGTCACCCAACTCTTCCCTTGTTAAACAGTCAATATCCATGTCATCCCAATTCCAGGGCCCAGCCACAGCTTCCTCTCCAATCCCCATTTGGGCTCTTGCCTCAGCCCTGGCCTCAGCCTCAGCCACAGCCACAGCTGCAGCCTGAACATCCATCTCTACTGCCTCCCGGTACTGAGCAGCCCAGTCTTTAGGATCTTTCTTCTGTACCTAAAATGGAAATTATAATTATTATAAGAAAGAGAGCCCTTTGAGTTATATGTGAAGCATCCATTTATGGGATCCACAGAAAACTAATAGTGGAAAAAAAAATCTAGAGTTCTTTCTAATGAGTCAGTCTTAATATCAAACTTCAGCTCTGATAACTTAAGCATCCAAGTTATGTCCTTAGACAAGTTGCTTTATATCACTGAGCCTAAATAGCCCCATTTGTAATACAGGAAATGATAAGAAACTAAGTATTTTTGGACTGAGTGTATTTCCCCAGAATTCTTATGTTGAAAACCCAACTCCGAATCATGACTGTATTTACAGACAGGGTCTCTTATGGCTATAACTTAAGAGAAATGAGTGAGGCCTTGATCAAATAAGATTAATGCCCTTATAAGAAGACATGAAAATGAACTCAGGCTTGCTTTATGCTATGTGAAGATGCAGAAAAGTTAGCATCCGTAAGTCAGAAAGAGCCCACACCAGAAACTGACCATATTAGATGGTGATCTAGGGTTTTTATCTCCAGAACTATGAGTGTATCAATTTATGTATCTTAAGCCATCCAGTAATTAATAATATTTTATAATGGCAGCCTGAACTGACTGAAAAATTTAAAAATTAAGTAGACAACAAAAGATATACATCTTGCAGCATATATCTAGGACACTAATGAGGCTTTATATATTTATATACAAACCATATGCTGCCCCATTCCTGTCTATCACTACACACAGTCTGCCTCAGCCTGGAGCATCCCATTCCCTTAAGGTGCCAAGATCAGGAAGTTCATTACCTTGCATGCAAATTTCAGGACTTTCATCTTGCTAGTCTCATGGTAAGACCGCAGGCCCCAGAAGAATTCATATTCAGGTGGTCTGCTGTTGGGGACCCTCTTGTATTCCAGATACCTTGAAGAAAGGAAATGAAAATTGTTTCTAAACAAGCAAAACTATTGTTTAACCACTAGGCCTCAGATGAAGCAATTTCTCTAAACAAACACCTGGAGAAAAAATTTCCATGCCCTTCAGACCCAGACTCACTTCCATGGAAACATGTTTCCATGCAAACCCATGGTGATACATATACAGAACATTATGCCCCACAGAACACGGATGTGTTTTGGTCCCCTATGAAGACTAACCCCAGATTCCTTTTGGGTGTGCTATTAATAGACCAGCCATTTTGGGGGCCCTGCTCTGAGTACACCCCATTGCAAGGGTCCCAATGGGGCTTGGTCACAAGAATTTTAGATAGGACTTGGTCTAGGTCGCAGGAAGTCCACCTGTCTATAAAGGCACTAAGTATTTTTGAACCAGATCACCACACCCAGAGCAGTTCAGAGGTACACAAAGCCTTGAACACCACTTACTTTTGCTTCACAAATTCATCTGTGATGAGTTTTCTCACTTCTCCAAAAAGTGAATGTCTTACCCTAGCAAAGAAAAAAAAATAATCAGTGAATACAGACCAGAACTACCCAGATGAAGGCAGAGGTATTTCCCAACATGGAACAGATTCTATAGCCAATGAGGCAGTCTCAACGAAGTGAAGACAGTAGTGAGCATATGGCCACTAGAAGAAAACAGTGGAGGCCAGATGGCTCTTTGTCAGGGATGCCTGCAGGTCCACCTTACAACTCATCTCAGAACAGACAGAAGACATAAAGGAGAAAAGAAGCAGAGTTCAGAAACATTGTCATTCATCCAGGTAAGAAATCTCCCATCCCCACCCCCACCCCACACATGCTCCATCAGACCACCAGGCTGATGCAATCCTGGGACCGTCCTCTCTTGCCAAAAGACAACATGGACAGCAAGCGCTGAGAGAGCCCAATCATACCCAGGGCGCAGCCCCAACTTGCGCAGCACCTCCCAGATGACAGCTGCAAGAGGGGGCAAGAAGGAGACAAAGACAGAAAATGAGCACCTGGAATTCAGACAACAGCCACCTATTCAACTGCATGCCCAGCCACTCACCCTCACTGGCCTTGTTGCCATTCATGAAAATGACACTCAGAATCACCATGAGGAGACCCAGCTTAGGTGTGTCCTTGGTCCTAAGGCAGAGAAAATTTATGTTCATGAGCCATCATCTATATAGCACAGCTCAATAGACCAGCCTCACCTAGATTCCTCAGATACAGAGAATTTGGCCTACTCTGTGGTCCCAGCTATCCATGACCTAAGGCAGCTGCTTTCCATCTTCCTTCCACATCCAGGCCAGGCACTCAGTAGAAGAGACAAGTGACAACAATCCAATTTCCTGGGAGCTTGTTAGAGCAAGCAAACCTGACAGCAGGAATGCCCCAGTCCAGGCTCTGAAACCCTTCTGTCAGTTATAATCTGGCACCACTACTGCTCACAGGGATCCAGCCATGTGTGGGAGCTGGGACACAGGTGTTTAGACCCTCTTTCCTGAGCTTCTAAGAGAAAGCAAAAAGCCCCTTCCCACCCTAGCACTTCCCCAGCTTACGTTCCCAGTATGCCTGCAGAGGACTCCTGAGTGCTGATAAGAATATACAAGCTACTTTGCTTATCAATTTCCTTCAGATTGACTCGAAACATCTGCCAAGTAAAAGAATAGCCTGTGAGATTGCAAAGATATATCTTAGGTATCAAGTAACATGTTGGGCATTCTGCAGAAAAGCAAGCAAAGGTTTTGTGTGAGAGAGAAAATGCATATAAAATATATAGTTCAGTACCAAGCACACATTAAACATGTAACAAACTTAAGACAGTCATCCATAGCATCTTTGTGACCATTGAGCATCTGCAATACCTGAGACAGTGTAGCCAGCAGCAGACAGAAGCTAGGACTAAGCTGTGCAGCTTTAGTACTCTCTGTGTTTCCACCACTGACTTGTTGTGTGATCAGTGGCTGCCCCTCCCCATGCCACTGTGTGCTCATCTGCACAGTGATGGGAATGTATTTGGTCTCTGTGCTTCTCACCAGGAGGGTGATCCTATACCTTTCTTCTGTTTAAGGTTTCCCCAGTGCACCCATCCCCCAGGGCTGCCCCTTCACCTTCTCCAGAGCATAGCTTGCTCGTTCAATGATCTCTGGGAAATACTCATCATATTCTTGGATGACATCCTTCAGCATGTCTACAAGAAAGAGGAAACAGAAGATGCTAAACTGTACAGAGGCCAGATGATTTCGATATTTTACCAGCCCTGTGTGGTCAGGGTAGCAATGGTGAAATATGAGTGTGGCAGCTGAGGCAGTATGAGTAAACAGATACCCACAGGCCATGGGGAAAAAGTAGTGAAAAAGCTTGAGAAGGCTACCTGAGCGCTTGATGGGGATCTTTGTCTGGTCCTTAACCAACAGGTATTTCACCAACTTATTTGCCTAAAAGAAGAACAGTTAGGGAGGAATCAATAGTGGCAAAACATGTGGGAGAATGCCAGAGAAGAAGAGGAAGAAAAATAGGACCTGAGCAGATTGGATTCTTACCCTTTCCTGCAAAATGGCCACATCTCTAGGTGGTGGAGGCCTTCGGCCCCATGGGATCCGCCTGTAATTACTCCCAGTTCTTTCTTCTCCATTGGGATGCTTAGACTTCATCAATGAAAAGAAAAAAATGTCTGGAGTTACGAAATGAAAGAGATTGCTGTTTCTTCCACAAAGTTCCATAGATTTAGTGGGCCTAGACTCTCCCTTACAGAGGGGTGTGGCCCTCTCACAGGCTACCTTGATTCCCAGGCTTTTCTATCACTGGTTTCTAGGCAACCGTTTATTTCACCTCCAAGGGCACAAGCCAAGCAAAGATATGGCCTGGGGGTTTTCCCTTTTCTTTGGCTACCACCAGTTTTCTTATCTGTAAAGCTGGGACTTAATAGTCCCCAGTTAGTAAGAGTTCTTTTCAAGAAATCCACATACAACCTGAGTAAATGTATGACACAAAATCTGGCACATGGTTAAATATTATGTAAATTCCAAGTGAGTTACAAATAGGTCTTGACTGAGTAAATACACAAATGTGTTTCCCTACCAATCTGTAAACTACTAGTGGACACAAAAGTATCACATTCTTCACAGCATATCCTATAGCCTATATGAACACAGGTGAACAACCTAGTATAGGAAGGAGAAAGCAGAATAAAAAGTTAAGGATAATGTCACAGATCTCACCTTCCGGTTCCTCTTGCCCCGGGTTCTGGTTGTGGGTTCTAAACTCAACTGAGCCAGATAGTCATCTGCCAAGGCCTGGACAGCAGCAGCAACCTGAGTCTCAAGGGCACTTATGCTGGCCTGAGGGGTAGCCATCTTGGCCTGAGCTCCTTGGTCAGTGATTTGAGCCTGGCTTTCTTGAGCCCGAGTCTTAGTGGCAGCCTTTCGAGCCCTAGACCCTCTCCTGATCCGTACGGTGACTGATAGGGCATGGTTTGTGACCATTTGGATGGCAGGTGGAGCCTCAGAGAGCTCAGAAGCAGAATTTGGGCCTTTATTGGCAACCTTCTTTCCCTTGGGCTTTTTGGGCCTTAGACCTACAGTTGAGGCCTCAATCTGTCTGCTAGATCCCTCCAGGGCATTTGAGGACTCTACATATTCAGTGTCAGTATTTGTGGTCTTAGCAGTTGTCCTTTTAGCTTTGGAAGTTTTCTTGGCTCGGATAGTGGCTGCTGTGGCCTGGATACTAGCTGTCTCCTTAGCAGTTTGGCCTTGGGTAGTGGCTGTGTGGGTGGCAGTCGAAGCCAGTGAGATCTCCGTGGCACTAGGTATGGTCTTATTGGCAGCTTTCTTTGCCTTAGGAGCTTTCTTGGGTTTGCTGACAGCTATCAAGGCCAGGGAATTAGCTGATTCATTGGCAATTGGAGACTGGATAGTTGGTGAAGTAACTGGTAGGTTTAGGGCCTTCAAGGGTGACTTGAGCTGTGTAGTGACATCCTCAGTGCCATTTAGGGATAACTTGGGAGTAACTCTCTTTGTCTTGGCTTTCTTGGTCTGAGCAGTAACTGAAGCCTGGATATTGGCTGCCTCAGTAGTACTAGAAGCCTGGCTGATCTGGGTGAACATTGGTAGGTTTAAAGCCTGCAGAGTTACTTTAGGCTTGTTGCCAGCAATGTCATTGGCAGGTGGGACGGGAGGGGGAGTGGGTGTGGTCTTAGTAATAGCTTTAATAGAAGTCTTCTTGGTCTTGCTTTTCTTAGACCGGCTGGCAATAGGTGTGTCCTTGGATGTCGACAACAGGGTACGCATCAGCAGGACGTTGTCCTTCTCTGTGGTCTCAGTCTGTACATCTGAAGAGAAAGGAAGCCCTAGGCTCCCAGGGGGAGGCAGAGGGCCCTACATACTTAGGATTATGACCCTATGGGCCATCTAGCCTCCCTACAACCACCCCTCTCTCCACTGACCTCCCCACCTGAGCAATTAGGTTGAAAGGGGTGGGGAAACAAGGAGGGAGCAGGAAATTCAGGTAAATTTCTCTCTTCCCAGCCCCATTCAAAGTCAGGTTAGGCGAGGAATTGTGGAACTACACAGTGGTAGTGGACTACAGAGTGGTAAGTGAATTCAGGGTAGGGCAAATGGCCTAGTAAGAATGCAGAGAGGTCTCACCTGGAATGTGGGCATTCGATAACCATAGTCATTTCTTCTATCCATCTTCTTGAGAGGCTAACAGCTGAGCCTGAAAGAAATAGGGCTGAGTTAGAGGAAAATAAGGGAGCAGGAAGATTCATCAGAAGTCTTGCTAAATCTGAAGGGTGAAAGAATTTACCTTATTTTGGACCCCAAACCTTTTTGGGTTTGCCTATCTAGAAGCTCAGGGCATCTGGTTTCTGAGCTGCAGCATCTTTCATTTCCAAGATGGCAAATCAGTTTCACGACCTACACCTAAACACCCTCTATCACACCGCAACCTGACAACGCGCATGCGCACAGATCACACACACACACACACACACACACACACACACACACACACA